ATGGGGTTACACACAAATAACCGCTGTACATATTAAATGGAATTATGCCATTTAGCCTAGTTTGCTGCTCTGCTCTGCACATGTGGCCCAGAGCCCCATCTGTTGCTGAATGAGTTTCAGTTGTACCACGTTTCAGTGCTTTTCTGTGTAAAGAGAGGATCAGTAAGTGACCATTGTCCTTTTAAAGGGAAGATATTCTGCTCATTTTCAGGTTTATATGTGTATTTTATACCTCTACCTTTTTAAACCGCTTGATGTTTAAAAAGGTCTTCATTTTTCTCATACTGCCTGCATCTCTTTTGACCCTCTGTCTGAGACCATTTACATGCACAAACAAATAAATACAGTCTAAGGACTTAAACAAATACAAATATTACCCCACTCAACTCCATATTCAACAGTTCTCTCCCTCTTGCATGATCTTCACCATTATCGCAAGCCATCTCCCTATATTTCTTCCGATCTGCTCAGCAGCTCTTGGATTTTATCACTCTTTCTCTCCGTCGCCATCTGCCTCCTCTTTGCGTCAGAGGCTCTTGGATGCCGCTTTCGTCCTGAGAGACGGCGAAAAATCACCTAGCGAGGACAAGTCAGCCATCAATCTTACTCAACACCGTTCCTTCGCTCACCCTCTCCTTCTCTCCTTCACTATCGCTTCCTCTTTGTCCAATCTCTATCTCTGTCCGCCTGTCTCTCCCCCCCTTGCCTCTGTAATCCCATCTTCAGTCAAGGCTGGACATGTTGCGATGGCCCTCCTTCCTCCTCGATACCAAGCAACCACACCAATATAACCCTCCTCTCAACCCTCTCCTTATTACTCCTCCTCCAGATAGGATCTCCAGGAGGCTTCAAGCCATTGTATTTCTCGCTCTTCGTCCTTCAGTGACCGTCTTTAAAGAATGGATCCGGATGGGAGATGGCTTAGCTAAAGCCACAACGGAAATCCTCAACTGATGGTTGCACAAGGGAGGCTATCCTAGCTTAGCTGTTGCTTTTGGCCCCTAAAACTGACTAAAACTCACCAAGATGATGTTGGTTCTACTGTAAGCCAACGCACAATTAAGCTGCTTTTGAAAACTCTGGCAAAGATCCATAAAGATACAGTTGTGGATTAGGTATGAACCTTGTTGAACACTCAAGGGTCTCAAAAAGGCGGGCCAGGTTACGGCCTCTCTTTCAGTGGCTAATGTCCGTGTGCGGAGCCTGGGGATCACACAGGGGTTTTAACCTACCCTGTCAGCCTAAATTAATGAGGTAATTAAAGGCTCAGGTGGAATTAGCAGTAGACACCTTAAGTGCCCCGAGGGCAGTCAGATAGGCAGGCAGGATGTAAAGCTACAGTATAGCTAGGGGACAGATGCTGCCGTAGAAAACTGTGGCGAAGAGGAAAGGTCAACACGGACAACTGTTGTTCAGTAGGAAGTCGTGTATATATAGAGTTGGTATGGTGACAGGGCGATGATTAAGTTGGAAAAATTACAGCGGTTTGTTTTCTGCATCGGGTCTGTGGTGATAAGTGATCAGGTGAACATAAGGGGAATTTAGGAGGCTCTTTTAGGGAGTTTAATGTGATTATATTACATAGACTGCTGCAGTCATAAAATCACCCAATTTAAAGCACCCATAAAAAGACTCCCCCTGGAATAATATTCAGATGATAGATCCTTAATGCTTCCCTTATAGCTCACTGGCTCGTTCCTTTGGCTGGGGTTTGGAGATCTCGTCTTCTTCTATTCTTGGAATATCACCCTTTTTTAAATGAAAAGAACAAATGTATCAACGATATAATAGTACAAAAGGAACATTAATGTAAAGACATGCTTCATCTTCTATGAATCCCTTGTGCATTAGTAGATCATTTATATCAGGATTGGCAGGGACTTACAATGAAGACTGTTTTAAGATGTTTAATTACAGAACGTACTATAAAAACATAAAATGGCTCTTGTTAAAAAGAATTGCCGCCAAAAACCTAAAAACCCCTTAAACTTAAAACATTTCTCATGTTTATGTCTTCTAAAATGTCTGACCTTGACTATACCGACTTGTATTGGGACACGGTTTATTAGTAGAGAAGTGTTTTTACATTCCTTTGCTATTTTTATTCAAACGTACCTCATGAAAGACTTAACAAAAATACTTTCCAATTGAAAAATCTCCACCTTCTTATGGTTAGATTCCTTGATAGAACAAATAGACGGTAAAAATACGTTTTATTTGGGGACAAAACGTCATCAAAACAAAGTAAGTGTGCTTATCGTAAGATGTCTGGGGGTCTTTGACTTGAAAAGCTTTTCAAACACGGCCCACGATGGATGCATATCGTTTTACAGGTAGGAACAGAGCAGAGCTGAGGGGTGGAGCAACTCCACACTACTGATTGAGTCTGAGACGCAGGTGGGTTTTTAACCTGGCGTTTTTCTAATTCAAAACACGGCGGGGAGGCCCTGAGTCGTTTTCTCAGGCAAACACGTGAACGCCTTATTACATTCGCAGTAATAATTTTCCGTCCATCGGGCAAAGCTAATTGGGTTCCCCGCTCACACTGTCTTTCCAGTGTCAATGATATCTCATCGGAGAGAGCGTTATTATAGAGAACATAGCCTGTGGGTGTTCCTATCAATGACATCCACTGTCTATGCTTTCATGTATGTGTTCATGAATGCCTCCTCAGAGACGCTCTCAGAAATAGACATAAAAGAGAATTACATTATTTTTCAAATTTATAACAACTTAGTCTCAGCTAAAAGTCCGTTAAGGTAGCACATTGATTGGATCACAAAAAGACAGTGAAACACTTGACCTGCACTGCCTCCATTCATTTTGAAATGGACGTGGGTGGGAAGTTGGTGAGGGATCATTTCCCTGTCACATCTAGCTTGCCCACTTTTGACTTTATCAAAGATTTACCATCCATACAAAAGCACACATAACTTGGAGTACAATGTACAAGGCCTGGCACATTTCTAAGTATCAGGATTTCCATTATTTCCTTTGAAAATGATTTACTAAAGATTTAATAAAAAAGGAAAGGCCACACAGCTAAAATGTTAATTGAAATACAAATACATTTGAAGGCCAGTTAGGAACTCGGTATGCTGTTACCTAAACCGCAATCAAACCTAAAAATGTTCTAAAATACAATGTCAAATGTATAAATGTTGGCCATCAAACATCTATAGCAATGCATTTTCTTGCTTCAAAGAAAGCTAAATCAATATATACGAGCAAACAGGTGAAACTCCGACTATCATGTCTAGAAATACCCAATAAACAAGGTCAAAGACGATGTAGCTAAAACAACTAAATTCCCAAGAATTTTTTATACATATAGTATACACAGTATGTATATGCATCTTAAATTACATTACATCATTTCTCCTATGCCTGTTCTCTTGGTCATACTGTAATATACATGATTTGTAGCTTCTTAAAAAGACCTGTAGGTCAAAATAAAATGAGCATGTGAAAAAGTTGTTTTTGATTTAATTTCTATTTATTGGATCTGTACGATAGTGGAAAACTTTGCGCAGTGGTTGCTATCGGTCGTCCTTACAGTGTGTCCTCTGGTGTCAGTCAATAGTTTGGTTCCTGCAGGTTTGACTTTTCTCCTCTAACACTTGACAAGAGACCCGTTGTGTACTCTGTTGGACTGGCTCCCTCCCCCTCTCTCCCATCTCCCCCCTCTCTCTTGTCTCTCATATGGGGGTTATCCACATATGACACCTGCCAGGGCGGCACCGTAGAAGGGATCTGACATTTCATTCTCACCTGCAGATACGACCCCCTCTCTTTTCTCACCTTTACACTTTCACCTTGAGTGTTTACGCTCATTTGCCTCCGTGCCTACAGTCCAAACACCATCCAAATGTCAGAGAAAGTAAACCGCCAAGCAAGGCACATTTTTTAGCTACTTTAAACCCACTTTTTGTCATTCTGGCTTGCCCGTGTTTCAGAAAAGTCCACCACAAGGCAAAGGTGAATTCATATAACTGACATTTTCTGCAGCAATATTCCTCTTCGTATTCCTTGTCTTCCTCTTCTCCTTTTTTTTTTTTCAGGCTCAGTGAACTGAGGGAAAATGACATTTAATTACAGGAGAGCAGTCACGCAGTTCGGCTAATTACGATCCCGGGAGTTCAGTCATCATATCTAATTAACTTTCCCCTTTCATGAAAGCTTAATGCAGCACCATAGCTGCGCGCTGCATGTGCCACACTTCAGGAATATTGACAACTCTTTGGAAATTAATTTGAAAATAGTTATTTCTTTTTTTTCCTTTTACCTCCCTTAATTTCCAAAACAAGAAGTCGCTGTTTCTTTAAAACTTTATTTTCCCTCTGATGTTGGTTTTATTTATGAGACGACAGAAGATATTCATAATTGATCTAAGCCTGCATTATACTTAAATATAAATGAATATAATCAATCACTGGGACGGCGGTGGCAATTCATAGCCGTATTGATTGTTATAAGCACACTGCATAGTCTGATTCACATTCATTATGACACTCTCAGAGGACAATCAATTCATTATTATGCTTGCCCTTGACCACATTGTTAGTGTGCCTACTGGGGCATAATCCTTATAGCGCACGTGTATATTCATTGATGTTGTCATTTTTCATAAATGAAGGGAATCAGATTTTAAGACCTAATTCTGTCCTGCTTTGTGCACTTCTTAGAACAATGTCATATTGCCTTTTCACTTGCTAAATATATAGTCAAATACATTCTTGTTTTAGGATATAGTTCAAAACAAACCCATTGGAAAACCACCCAATTGCCACTTAAAGGGAAATGGAAACACTTTTCAAACTGCTTTCCATGCAACAATATTCCCATTAGGAAATGTATTTATCTAGTCTATTTCTAATGTAAACGATCGAGATACGCAAATTAATTTTTTGAAATACGTGCCTAATGACCATGGGCGCTTCCATTGCTCCGGGACTTTCCCAGTGACGTCACTGAGTGGGTACGGCTTCCTGGGCCAAAGCTCAATAACAAACAACATGGCGTGCTATGCACCAGTAGTTTACATTAAAATAAAACGGTCGTCGTCAGGAGTTTATTGTATTGCCCCAGGCTGCACAAATGGTATTATACGAAGAAGGAAGAAGTACATTTCCATAGGCTGCCACTAACGGATGAGAAGCTGCTCAAAGCATGGGTTATTTCCATGAAACGGTCCGATCCGCCGCTGAATCAGTACGCACGTGTGTGCAGCGAACACTTTAAAAATGACGATTATGTCCACAAAATGAGGTTTGATGAGTCTGGATGCCTGGTTCAATACAAAACATCGGATTTGAAGCCAGGATCTGTTCCCACAATATTCGATTTCTCAACGTATGCAGTCGGGAACACCGACCGTCCCAGCACGTCGGCCGCGCAAGACAATGACAGTGTCAACAAACGGGAAGTTCGAGCCACCAAACGAGTTGCTTCAGCTGCCGAGAGAGAGGTAAATATTGCAGCACTACCAGATTACTAGCTCACACATGTATTTACTGACACAGTGTGACCTTATTAATTAACGCAATCGCGTCCAAACTAAATGGTAGCTATTATTATGACGTACAATGGAGAATTGGGGGTGTTCTATAGCTCAACTAATTAAACTGGCATACACACGTTCATCTGTCGAAAACAGCCCTAAAAAGGCTAGTATTGCTGGACTAGGTGTTCAATGGATGGTATTGCCAAGATGTATGAGGTGTTGGAAAATAATACAAAATATATGTCAACTGACCACTGGTACATGTGGTAGCCTGGTAGGAGTATACTTCATCAAAATGACTGCCCATCCTTAGCCCTGCTTGAGTATTTTCTGAACATGTGCTTAATAATAACACAATCCTTTATAAATAATATATTTTGCTCTGAGTAATAACAGTTTGAGAGTTTGCTTAAATAGTCTTCAAAAACAAATATTTTCCTATTTTTTTCCAACGGCCGAGATACACATAGGTCTACATAATTATAGAGCATCTCCATGGAGCTCAGGCTGATTGTTTGCTCTCTGATGGGCTGTGGTGGCTCGATCACGTTCTTTTAATTCTTAGGTTTCTATGAACAGTTTCTTTATTTTACCATTATGGAATAATCACATTGGTAAATAGTGGCGATGGGGTTTTTCCGGCTAACTTATCATAGTCATGATTTTGAATATTTCTAGTTCACCTTAACCTGTAACATATTTATATTGTTTTGTTTCAGGTCAAACGAGCTGTCCATACTGCTGCAGGATTGTTGTCCTGTCAGACAGAAGATACATCCTGCATAGGTGCTGATGATGCAAGTGATGATTCCCAGGTACTGGAGGCACACACAACTAAACGTGGGCAGTCAGTGACTGTGGCCACACAGACGGAACCACTGGAACCATGCCCGTGTAAAACTGTGACTTTGGTGAGTGTGCAGACTGGGACCGATGACATCAACAACAGTCAGTTGCTCAGTCATGATCATCCATATTGCGTCAGCAGGGACATTGCTGGTGGATCCGCCACACTGGCACCTGCAGATGCAATGGCCAAAGCACCACCGAGTCCAACAGCTGATGTGTCAATGCCTGAAAAAGATGCTTCCAGCTCTGGGGAGAGCATTCCAGGTACTGAGCCTTCTTCGTCGGACTACAGCCCTACTGAAGATGACATTATACAGAATGACAGCGAAGACAGCGAGGATGATGGAGAACATTCAGTGGATGGCGGAGAAGATCCAGTGTCAGACAAAAAATATCTGGTATCCCATGCACAACTGATGAAGCTGTTTTGTGTATGCAACTTTGCCGGATGCGGAAAATGTGTGATCAGCAGGCCGTACTGTTCAGCCAAAGGCTTTGGACTGACAGTGAAAACTGACTGCATAGATGGCCATGAATTTGTGTGGACTTCTCAACCCCTCTTAAATGGCACAATGTCCTGCAACCTGTTAGTGCCAGCCGCGATTTTCCTGACTGGAAATGCTTATGGCCCATTTTCTGAGATATGCCAGTGTCTGGGCCTGGAATAACTCTCGACAAGACACTGCTATAACATCCAGAGAGTGTATGTGCTGCCGGAAGTTACCAGTGTCTGGAACTTGCACAATTAGGCAGTGATGGCAGCAACTGGCGATCAGGTTGTCACTGTGTCAGGCGATGGGCGATGTGACAGCCCTGGTCATTGTGCTACGTTTGGAACGTACACCATGCTTGATATCAACTCAAGGCTCATCATTGCCCAGCAGACAGTGAAGGTGACAGAGGTCAAAAATAGCTACTGGTTGGAGCCTGTTGGACTTGAAAGATGTATTTCCAAACTACAGGTATTCTATTGTTAGTTTGTTTATTTCACAGGTAAATAGTACATGTAGTATTGCTACAATATATTGTATAATCTTTTGTCTAATTTTAAATAACGATTGTCAATTTGGAATAGAAAGGTTGTGATGTCTAGCTGTCTGCCTGTGCCATTGTATGTATGGGATCTCTGCTGATAGCCAAAGATATATATTGTATGTAAATTTGTTACATGATATGCTAGAGAATTCCATGTTGCAAAAATTAATCCTACAATTGACTAAATTGTGATTTTACATGAGAAAATTGCCTGGCCCTCTAAGTTTGACTTGGACAAGGGGGGGGGGGGGGTGGCTGGCTGGCTATCAAACCCGTGTGATAGAAATTGAAGATGTTGGCTTTATTAAATTACATTTATGGTAAATATCTTTTCAGGATCACAATGTGACAATTTCCATACTAGCCACAGACTGCCACCCTGCAGTGCAGAAGATGCTACGTGAGGACCACAAGACCATCAAGCATGAGTTTGACTTGTGGCACATTGTGAAAGGTGTGAAGAAGCGGATGCTGCAGAGCAGGAATACCGAGCTGAAGGAGTGGGTGCCAGGGGCGGGGCTTCAGGGGGGGCTGTAGGGGCAGGGCTCCCCGGGCCCTGGACGGTCGGGACCCAATGGGGGCCTGTCGCCGAGGCAGCAGGCTCCTGTTATGGAAATCTAAAAACCCCAATACTGTAGAGTACAAGTCAGAAAACAAATAAATGGTGAAACAGACAGAGTTGTCTTTCCGGTGATGTTTATTCGAATAAACATCAGATACAATAAAATATAGACACAGGTCTCACAGAGTATAGGATAGTCTGCGCGAGTGTGCGCAGTTCAATATTATAGCGAAGCTTATATAGTAGAAATGATGAGAAGGTAAGAAATCTGTCTTCACACGGTCACATTGTTATTAGACACCTGGCCTTGAGCTGTAGAAGTTCTCGTGTGACTTTGTGTGAGTCTCAACCTAGTAGCCAAAACAGCTCTGTGGCCTTGAAGTAGGACAGATAGAGCAAACAGCACATCTAAACCAAATGAGAAGCATTTGGTTTTAACATATCAGGATATTAGGAAATTTCCACTACATTCCCCCCTTTTGATCATACTTGATCAATAAAAAACAAATGACAGGATAGACTGATATAACACATCAATGAATACACTCCATCACTGGTTTAAGTAAACACATCACAAATATATCATAGAAAACTGGCTGTTTGTGTGGAGGACAGACTCCAATATAATGTAAGCATAAGAGGAGAGTACACTCGATTCACATGATTATATTGATTATATTGTAGTGTCGGAATCAGACTCTTCTGATTCTAGCTGGTCTATCTCACTGTGGCGCAAAGGATTGTCTTGTAATGGAATAGCAGTACACTGAACGAAAGCTGAGGATACCATGCTGGAAACGCACTTCTTCAGTATTGGGATAATCAAACAGACATATAATATGACACAGGTCAAGAGCAAATTGCTGCATGAGCATGTTCCTAGAGGCTATTATGAATGGGGGCAATGCCTGGAAGCCTTGCGTCGTCTCGTAAGTGAGGTTCTCTAGTCGAACATGTAAGGTATCTATGTTATGGGCATTGTTTACTGTACCCCACCATGGAAACAAGCCACCAAAGAATTTAACTCCAGTGGACGTCAGCTCTCTTTTTACCTTGTGGTGGTCCGGGTGTTGGAACTCTGGGTAATGATGTGTCGTGTACATTAAGGACGTGAGGACCGTGACTGCTGGATTCAAATCCACTAGAGTGCATGTACCTATCCAGAGGGGAGCCAGCATCTGATAGAGCTTGTCGCCGCACAACCAAACGTAATCTTGTGGCGCGCTAAACCCAGCATCACTGGGCCAGGCCAGTTGGAGGGAAGTATGGTTAACATCAGGGAATGCTACGTTAGAAAGGATTCTTTCAGGGACACTGAATATGCAATACGAGCTATTGTAAACACCGTAACTGCACGTATTCTGTAGGATACGAGTACAACCAGTAGTAGTACCTAGGGAAAAATAAGGTGGTGTAAGAGACGTTTTATGGTATACTCTCTGGATACAAATGCTGTGTTTCATCCCTCTCAAATGGCTGGGGTGCACATGGCTGACCGGTTGGTACTTTGCGTATGTGGTATCAACCGTATATGCACGCAAAAGGGAGTTAGACTTATTACTGCATGGTGGAGGAAGCTGCCTGGCATAACGCCACTCGGTTACGCGGTCTTCCCCCTCGATGGGCCTTGTCAGAGCCATAAACGCACAGAGGTGTTCAACCTGGGTCAGAGAGCGCGGACGAACTGGCACTGACATTGATGAGTCCTGGGGAAAAAGGGTGCATGCATAACATGAACCATTTTGTCCTGCGGCCTGCAAGAATGATCTCAGAGTGTGCCACCAAACGTTACCGGTGTTTCCATTACTGGTCTGAACCACATCAATGTTGTTATGGTCGTTATTGCCTATGTATAGGTTACGTTTTAGAAGTGTAGATGTACCTATGGATGTCAATGTTTGTGTCAAAGGCGGTTTATCCTTTTTGGGGGTCTGAGTTTTGGGCGCAATGTCTATGTAAAATGTGCCACACGGGTCGGTGCCGGATACATACATACATACAACATAATAACCCCCGTCTGATATCTGGGCAGCCTGTAGTTGCAACAGGACAACGGGGCTCGATGAATTGACTTTGGAGATAGACAATCTCCCTTTTATGTTTGTTTTGTCGTCCCATAGGGTATAACCCCAATCGGTGTATGCGGTGGTCCATAAAACAAAAGCCCAGCCCCCTGAGCAGTGATTGGCGGTTTGACCAAAACTGCCTTCGACATAGCATATGTAGGCGTCCGCCCACCCCAGTTTCTTAGGGTCGGAGCAATGCATGTAGTCGCACGGGTCTAACTGCACTGTGCTATCTTCCCCATCCCTTAGAGCAGGGGTGGCCAACCAGTCAGAGGTTAAGAGCCACATTTGTTCTATGTTACTGCAAAGAGCCACATCAAACACACAGTCACTGATACCGCTTGTTTCAGTGTTTTGTTTTCTGGAGACAAGATTTCAACCACGTCACTGATGCATTTTTGTGGCATTGGGATATTTTTTTTTTAAATCCTCTGGAGCAGAGAGGAGCTGTGGATTATTGTTATTGATTAATGCATCAGTGTTTCTTAGGGTCAAAAACACTAAACTCACAACTTCAAATGAAAGCGTTTAGTTTATTTAATAAAAGAGCACATGTTCAATGTGAAAAGTGACAGTAGTTATAGATTATTTGCAATTTGGTGCGATATATATATATTTTTTTTAATTATATATTTTTTTTAAACACCTTGAATTTCAGGGGGGGGCGCGGGGCTCCGTTGGCGGGGTGCAGCGCCCTTCCAAGACAATGGTAGGGGAAACACTGGATAGTAGTGTTTAATCAACGATAGGTTTTCCCCCCCTCAAAAAGTGATTGGTTCACTGCATCGCAGGTATTATTGTGATTGGCTCTTGGGCCACATCAAAATTAGACGCGCTGTCATCCTCTCATACTGACACCTGACACCACACATACACACGTAGGGAGAGCCGGGACGAAAGTAACACGGGACGAAAGTAACACGGAACGAAAGTAACGGAGCAATTTTATCCGAGCCCAAACAACTTTGACCGGCCAAATTACGTCAGAATTATCAGCATTCAATACTTAACAGACCTACTAAATATCAGGTTTAACTGTCGTGTTGTCACGATACCAACATTTTGGTTTCGATACCAAGTCAAGAATTGCGATTCCGATTATTTTTCGATACTTTTCTTAAAAAAAGGGAAACAGTCTTAAATGTAATTATTGTGCTTTATTTCAGACCAGAACCAGAACCATAACACAACCTTTAAACAATGAGAACAATACATACAATAAATGACAAGAATTCGTATTAAATAAAATTAATACATTTCTTACAGACAGGCCTCGTGGTGTCCGTAGGCTTGCCCTCACTGTCAGAGATATAGCTAAAATACTTCCACATTTCGCTTCTGGCGTCTTTTTTGTCAACAAGCCGAGGGGCAGCGGCAGTTGCACTCCCACTTGCAGCCATGCTTCTCGTTTTCTCACATGCTCTGGCAGCTAGCGCGTGCATGAGAGAGGGGAGGCACTTAGAGCGTGCTTGAGAGGGGAGGCACTTGAGCGTGCTTTAGAGGGGCGGGACTGCAGGCACGGCTGCAGAGCAGGGAGTGGAAGCAGAGCGCTGAACACACACAGCTCTTATTTAAACGGCGCTTTCTCACCGGAGTACTTTCCGCCGTCATTCTTAAACGGAGGAATCGTAACGTTTTTAACGGCAGGGTATCGCGGTATACCTTTCAAGTATTGGTACACCGTGCACCACTAGTCAGGAGTCAGTGTCTCTCCCCCGAACTCACACATATAAAATTCAATATGAACTGAAGAGCCGCATGAAACTAGGCAAAGAGCCGCATGCGGCTCGAGAGCCGCAGGTTGGCCACCCCTGCCTTAGAGTAATGTTACCAATCCCTGTCTTGATCAGCCCCTCTTCCCATGTGGTTCGCCCTGCTTTCCCCATGTACCTCTTAGATACCTCGATTTTTGCTGACCTGCTGTGTGCTGACCATGAATACATAAAATATATAACTAGTCCTAACACAACTATCATGGCAAGTATGCAGAGGAACCATTTTGTGATTGTCCAGGCTCTCCAGTAGTATTGCTCACGGTTGCGTTGTCGTTTTCCCAGGCGAGTCGTCATCACGAGGTGGGAATGCTCCATGGGGTGTGTGTGTGTATTCCCTCGGTCGATGTTGTGACACGGAAAGTCAGACTCCGCACACCGGTAACATAAATGAGGAACCAGAGAGCATATGGAACCGCTCAGCTGGCACTCGCTCGTGATACCTTGTGTGTAGTGTGTTTTGGTGTATGTAGTGCAAGTGTGGTGCAAGTTGGTGATTAGGACACATCACTTGTTGTCATCTACTTCTGTTGGTGATTAGGACACATGACTTGTTGTCATCTACTTTTGTTGGTGACTAGGACACGTCACTTGTTGTCTTCTGCTTCTACCGTTTCTCCTTTCCTGTGACTACGACCTTGCAGTGGCTGGCGTGGACCCACGTAGCTCTCTCTCGGCGACCTTGACCGCTGTCTGGTTGACCAGAAGCAGGTAGGGGCCAACGATTGGATTTCCAGCTCTTTCTCCGGAAATCCTTGACCAGCACGAAGTCGCCGGGTTGGAGATGGTGAAGTGGACCAGTGGCAGTCGCTAAAGTGGATGACAGGTTAACATACAACATAGCAACATAGCATCCTCACACAAAGTTGTGGAGGGAAGAGGACATCCTGGAGCCTTGAGTCCAATCTGTGGAGGAGCCCCAAAAAGGATTTCAAATGGCTGAGTTGGCTCCGTGTTCGTTCCCACATCCTCATGTACATCAGCACAATGGACAGAGCTTGTGTCCATGACAGACCTGTGTCTGCACAGCATTTTGCTAGTTTGTTTTTGATTGTGCCGTTCTCTCTTTAGCAAAATGTGAACCGTTGTTCTAATTTAAGATGTTCTCTGATGGGCTAAGCTCAATGAAATCCAGCATTAGGTGCTCAAATGAATTTTGCTTAATGCAAATTACCCCCCTTCACCCCCCTTCAGAACCACTCCTGATTTATAGCCTCTAACATCCCCCCTTTTGACACATTGTCCAACCCATGTGTCAAAAACAGCCCCAACAGCCTTCCACCGAGCCTTCTCAACTGGTGTAGCTAGCTGCTGAAGTGACGACATGTTGTCAGTGAAGGAGGAGACAGGCATTCTAACAAATGAGTGTAAGGTGCATGAGGTGCGAGAGGAATCAGACTCTTCCTTTGCGGCTGAGTCAGCAGGTAAATTAGCAGACCCAATTTCTTAGGGGAACTGGGTCTGTACTGCTTGCAGAAATTGTCTACACTTCCAAATAGCCACAAAATCGTGCACTACCCCAAAAGCATAGCGTGAGTCAGTGTAAATAGTCACGGTTTTGCCTTCTGCAAACGTGCAGGCTTCAGTTAGTGCGATGAGCTCTGCTGCTTGTGCTGAGACATGGGATTGGTCCGGAACGGAGTACAGCAGAATCTGAAACAACAGAAAAACACCCCACCCGATTAGTGCCCCCTTGGTCGCGAGAGGCAGACCCATCAACATACAAAATGAGGTCAGCCTTGGTCAGAGGAACGTCTTTTAAGTCCGGTCTAGGTGTGCACACAGTCGTGTTCGTCACCTTCAGGCAAAGGTCAATAAGAGGGTTCTTACACCTTTTCCAAAATCAAATTCAAGCACTTTTCAAGCATCTTATAGCTGTTGTAAATTACATATTTATATGCACATACTCAAATGAGTATTTCCCTACCTCACATTAACTCAGATGTTCTTTATGCTATAAACAACCACATGTGTGTTTCGTGATAGCATTCTACACGAGGATGAAAAATTAAAGAAAAGAAAACTAAGTTTAATATTAATATCAAAATGAGTGATCTGTACATCTAAAAACCCAATTCAGAGCTGGAGAATCCAATTCAAGCGACCTTTCACCTCCACTTAATTAAATGCACTGGTTGCAAGATAAAAAATGTGAGTTAATTGATTTTAGATAAACAGTTTAAGTTGCAACTTAATCGTGTCATTTGAACTCTGATTTCTGCATTAATTGACTTCACCCTAAATTCAAGTTGAGGTATTGTAATGCAATTGGCTTGATAACTTAATTGTTCTACACCTTGAGTTAAGGTCTTGTCATTCAAATACAACTTGAAATTCAAACTCTCCTGATTGAAATATCATGTGTTGAAATAAACAACTGCAGTTCAAAAATAAAAAGTGAATTGCCTAATATTTTTGTTGTGGAATCAATTAATTTCTTTCTTTAAAGGAAAAAACATGAATAAGCTAAAAGGAAAACCCTATTGAATACAATATTATTTGGAGCAACTTAATTTACAAATGGCTGTCCACTTAAAAACATCTGTTCATGTTCAACATGTGGTAATTAAGTATACACAACTTAAGATTACATTTAAATCATACGGTAAAACAAGTTGGAACGTTTGGAGTAATCAACTTAAAACTTGTGTTTATTCTACCAATTATTAAGTAAGTGGTAATTGAAAACACCTGATTGTAGAGGAAACGCCTTTTCCCCTAACTCAAATAACTTTGTTGCTCTAACAAAATGTCATTAGAAGTTGTCTTAACTCAATAACCATCGATGCAACCTATTGCCTTGATTCTCTTTGTTAAGCCAAGCATTTGTTTTTAGAGTGTACGTAGACTGGGTCTCCCATATAACATGGCTGAGCCGATATAAAAACAATCAGCCAAATAACTTCTCAAAACATCATTGATTACTATTTTTAAAAAAAATACTTTTAGGTTGGCAGTGAACATAAGTCAGAGGTACCTGGTGTACTTTTCCTTCACTTAATTATTTAATACCTTTAGCTACTTCACAGATGTGGATGAATGATGCTAAATATGATCAAGTGCCAAATCAGACCCCAGTTCCACCCGGAGCAAATCCACCAGCTACCCCGCAGCACACAAAGCCACCCAAACCAGCTGCACCTCTACCAGCCCCGAGAACACCCTCATGATCAACCACCACCGAACACATACACATCACTCTGAAATGGACCAATCCGCACAACGACCACCTCCACCGTCGCCACCCCCACCACACCCCGATAAGAACACCCCTCTACCTTTACTTGAGGAACATTTTGAATGCAGGACTTTTACTGTACCACTCTGGTACTTCTACTTTTACTCATGCACAACATCTGAGCACCTTAGTCTGAATTTCTAGCTACAAAATCACGCAGCGCTGCATACAAAATAACCTCACAATGGTAACAAGTGGAAAATAATATTTACAAATGTGTACAATGATTTGTAGGTAATTTTGACTACTCAAAACACCTGACTTATACAAAGGAAGACTGTGTTCATTCTACAATTACATGGGATTAAAGTAACATGTAGTTTTACTTGTATAATATTTCCATTTTGTATAAAAGACCGTTTGTTTTCATCTGTTTTAGAATAAACAAAGTATTGGCTTCAGAATACCAAACTTGTTTCGGCAAATTCAGATGATAAATACAACTTTGAAGCTTGTAACGGCATAATTACAAGCAGAGAACGGAGTAATGTAACATCACAACAAGCATAACAACAGCCGTGTGTTATGAACACTGCTGTGGGTGCGCAAATCATGAGGTCATCAAACTGGCCTTGTATGAGAGCGATGCCTTTAGAAACTTGGAGAGAGACCAACCTTGTACACAATGCCTGGTTGTACACAGTAGCCTTGACACAAACGTGTGAATGTGTAAGGTTTACCCTTATATTCAAATGTGAACAAAATTGACTGTCTTTGTGTACAGGAACACTGAAAAATGCATTTGAGAGATCTTATTACAGTAAAAAAAATGCTGCAGAGGCTGGAACTTAGGAAAGAATCAGATAAGGACTTGGGACGAGCGGGCATAGCTGCATAGCATTTACAGCTGTAAATCCTGGACAAATCTCCACTCGTCAGGAGGTTTTGTCTCTGATCTTTTGACAGGAAACACTGGAGTGCGTACCGGAATCGTTACACGGAATAATGACCCCTTGTTTAAACAGAGAGGTAAACACTGGCTGAATTCCATCAACAGCTTCACGTTTCAATGGGTACGGGGGTTGATTTGAACGGAACGTGGACATTAAACATACGTCATATCTGTGAGCTGCCCAGAGTGAGTATGGCCCATCTGAAAGCGCGGCAGGAAGCTCAGAGATATGAGAATTACCCCATCATCCTCAACCAACAGCAATGTGCGCAGAACGGCTACGTTTGTGCACATTTTCATCTTATACATGTCACCTGACATATAGTACATAACATATTCTGTGTGTGTAGATGTCCAATCAGTGAATGACTCCAAATCTTTAACGATTGGATCCAAATCCCTCTATCTATCAGTGGGGCCCCTGGCTAGTGAAATGTGTGGACCGCCCCTGGGATTTGACACAGTTTGTATTGTGTGGGTGTGCAACAGGAACCAGCGCTACGCAGCAAACTCCAAGCATAGTCTTAAGCATGAGCTCCTCATTCACACATTCTAACAGAAAAACTCATCATAGCATTTACACAGATTAACAACATTAACAACGTTAGCACGTATAATGCAAATGAGAAGCCTCCATGAACACAGCAGGTGGAAAAACACGTTGATCAGTCAAACGCAACAACGCCTGAGAATCAGGATATGTCAGCAGCCATTTAATACACATTCACACAGTCTTTATCATCAAAAGTTTTTGAACCATCGTAGGAGATGGCTGCCGGACTTTAAACCCCTCATTTGTGGAATAAATGAGGCCTAAGCCGAACCGGAGTTTCAGATCTCTGCCCAGTAAATGTATTAGACAGACGGAGGATAAAAGAAACTGTTTTTTTACTGATGTGGGAAATGGATTGACTATCATCACCGTTATCTCCACTCTGAAGTGATACAAAAACTTCTCCTTTACAGTCACCCCAGCCGCTCCTATTGAGTGCATACATCTACCACTAAATTTGCAATCAGGCAAATCTGCCCTTTTTACTATAGAACATCAACACCCATGATAGCTAAAGTTAGTGTGGGACATTTCTCAAATGCTGTTTCACTGTCATATTTCAAATATGTACCCTCTTTAACCACAGGCATGTCTTCTACATTTTCCAATTTTCAAAAGCATGATGTGTGTGTATGTATTCACTTCCCTGGTTCGATGATGCTGGCTGAATTTCCATCTCGCTCGATCGGGTCCCCTCCTCCCCATCTGGTGTAGGTCAGTCTGATTGTGAATGACGTCCTTGCTGTCCCCCTCTCTCCCTCCACTCGCCAGTGTTCTGTGAGCAGTCCCATAATCCAATGTTCAACACTGCCACACTTGAAACATCTTTCTCAAATGAAGGTCTTGCTTCTCGTCTTCTGCCTCGGAAAACCTCTTCTGCCTCTCCCTCGGTATTGTGACCGGCCAGCATTCTGCGTAGCTTGCGCTGTGTCTGTGAGTCCGTTGAGAAAGGCATTACTGAGGTGTGTTGCCCAAACACTTGCTTGGGCTTGGGTTTGTTTATCCCGCTGTTGTCCCCATCTACTTGGGCTGATGGGGGTGGCGAGCTTGGAGTTGACTGCATGGCTGGGGCTTGTAGTGGCGGTGGAGGTGGAGGTGGGCCAGCCGGATTGCCAGGGTTGTACCCCGGGGGAGGGAAAGGATACCCAGTCGAGGAGAGGT